GCTAAAATTCTAATTATTATCGCCTCCCAACTCTTTGTTTTATTTGTGTGTGCTGAGACGTCCTGCCTCAGTCGAGTCGTGTGATTCGTCACCCACCTCACTGCGTGGAGTGGGCTCTGAATCGGGGTTTTGGTCCGTCAGGAGACGAGTCGAGCTATCTGCGAGGTCGGAGTCGGACGTTCCCTTGTGGCTCATAGTGTTAGTGATTTTTCCCTAAAAATTCCTCCCTTTTTAAATCCATTGTCGGTACCGGCCAGCCGGGTATAATCTAAATCCTCGGAGACGCACTGTGACACTTCACGCCTCCTCCACGTGATCACCGGAAGAGATGTCGATTACCGGCACAGGATGGCCTGGCGGACGTTGTCTCTTACGGGGACTCATGTCTTCCTCCACAGTGACCTCCGAAGCGTTACCTCCTCGCAACAAAACACTGGCGGCGGCTTGGCTGTTCTCAGTGTACGGCCACTGGGTAGCATCCCTATAGCTTACGCGAGCGGTGGGGGCACCAGGCGTCCCTACCGGATTCACGTGCAAACTCCCATGTTCGTGGGCGGATACCACGCAGGGTACCGACCATATAGGTTGCTTGACAAATGGCCCCATCGCTCCTTGATGGCTCTTCGGGGACTTCTCATTCAGCTTGTATAACACTACCGAGCCCACTGGGAAGTCAGTTATCGACTGTCCTTTAGGTAGATCTGGCTCTCGATGAAACACTTCGCTGGTGAGTTGCAGCGCGGTTGGGAACCTTAGTTCTCGTAGCGCGTCCAGTCGGGCCTGTTCTTGGTACACGAGTGGCACTTCGTTGGAGTACCTGGCCTCGGTCCCAATCAGGGCCATTATGGGTGATAGTCCCGTTGCCGGATGTGGAATGGAGTTGTGAGCTAGCACGGAAGCAGCTAGTGCTTCCTTGAGCTCGACGAATGTTGTAGGATTGTTGCCCTGGAGGGCTTTACTCAGCGCTCGGTGGCTGGATTCGTTTACGCCGTTGCCTTGTGGTCGGTAGGGTGAGGTGACGTACAGCTTGCTTCGCCACTCGTTCATGACTAGCTGGAAGAACTGACTCTTGAACTCACTACCGCCGTCCACAAGGACTGCGATGGGCACGCCGAAGTACTGCTGCCAGTGGGTGACTGCAAAGTCTCTTACGGTCTGTGCGCTTTTGTCGCGTATCACTTGGGCTTGTAGGTACCTCGTGGCATGGTCGATGACGACTACGATGTGGTAATTGACTCCTCCTACTGCCCGCGGGCCGATTAGGTCGAGCGAAATGAGCTCGTTAAAGAACGGCCGCGAGAGTGAGCCGACGTCTTTCGCAACTGTTGGTCTCAGATTCAGGCGTGCACAGAGCAAGCATTCTCTTGTCCATTGTTCGATGTCACGGCAGAGGTTTGGCCAGAAATACTGGGCTTGCAATTGCCGTCGCATGCGGTGGACTCCTGGGTGTGCGCCGCTCTTGAAGTGCAACTGGTCGAAGAGTGCTCTCCTCAGTCTATGCGGCACGTAGAGCCTATTGGTCCCTTTCTTGAACCACCAGCCGTCTTGACCGCGTTCTACGAGGGTCCTAGCAGTTGCGTCTTCGTCGTCCAGTGCTTGGAGACCTTTCGGTTCGTCGGTGGCTTGCAGGGCTATTCCCGGACTGCAGGAGATGCTCTCTATGAGATCGTCCTCGTCTACGTCTTTTAGTAAGTCGGTTCGACTCAGCCAGTCGGCCACGACGTTGTCTTCGCCTTTGACGTATTCTACTTGGAAGTCATACTGCTGCAGGAACAGTGACCATCTACCTAACTTGCCGGTGTCTGCCTTCGATAGGTATTTTAGGTTCTGGTGGTCGGTTCTGACCAGGAACGGTGCAGCGCATAAGTAGTGGTGCCATTTATCCACGAAGTATCTTATGGCGTACAACTCTCGTTCACGTGTGTCCCACCTCTGCTCTGCCGGCTGTAGCTTCCGACTTCCGAACTCTATGGGGACGCGTTCGCCGTCTTGTTCTTGCTCTAGGATGGCTCCTATGGCTTTATCGCTGGCGTCGGTCGTGATTACGAAGCGGCCCTTGCCTTGCGGCGCTTTTAGCATGGTCGCGTCCATGATCGCTCGCTTGATGGCCTGGAACGCGGCTTCGTGACTTTCGTCCCATGAGTATAGCCTTCCTTTCTTTAGCAGGTCGGTGAGTATGGCTGTGTGGTGCGCGAAGGATGGAATGTGCTTCTTCAAGTACGTCGCTGCGCCTAGGAACGATCTTAGCTCTTGGATGTTCTTGGGAGCCGGTACTTGGCGGATTGCTTCCACCTTGCTCGGATGTAATCTGATGCCATCACTGCTTACTAGGTAGCCTAACATCTTCACCCAGTCCTTCAGGTACTCACCTTTCTTCAGCTTCAGGTACAGTCCTTCTGCGCAGCATCGGTCGAGGACTTGCTCCAGTCTTTCGAACAGCACATCTAGGTCGTTTGCGTATATGACGATATCGTCAATATACACGCTGACGCCGTTGCCGATGATCCCGGCGAAGATTTGATCCATGATCCTTTGGAACACGATTGGACTGTTCTTCACGCCAAATGGGACTACGGTGTACTGGAATGTGCCCTTTTTCGACACGAATGCCGTTAAAGGCTGACTCTCCTCCTCCAAGGGCACATTGAAGAACCCTTGGTTACAGTCTAGGCATATGTAGTACTTATGTCCTGCGGCCTGCTGTACCTGTTCCCACAAGTTGGGGATTGGGTATGCGTCTAGGGTCATGCATTTGTTGACTTCTCTGTAGTCTATGCAGACTCTCCACTCTCCTGTCTTCTTCTTCACGAAGACTGGTCTTGCTCCCCAAGGCGACTCCGACGGGACTATTACTCCCATACCAAGCATGTCGTCTACCTGCCGGTCCAGTTCGCTTTGTAGCTCTGGCCTTATTGGCTTGAGACGGGCTTTGTGGGGTTTGCCCTCGACTCTGAATCGCGCCTTGGCTTTTACTTGGCCTATTCTGGGTCTGAGCCAGCATTTACTGTGCTTGGCCAGTATGTCCCACAGGCGTGTGAACGTTGCCTCGTCTAGGTGGGTGCACATGCCTTTGACCAACTTTCTGGCGTCTGCGACGAGTTCTGCATCTGTCTTGCTCTCGTCGACTAGACTCACCGAGTTGGTGTTGTAGGCTATGTTTCCTCCGCCTATCCCTAGCTCTGTGGCTACGTCGGGTGGTATTAGGAGGTCTCCTCCTCCAGGCATTGGGGCCCAGAAGGCTTCCCGCTGGAGGCTCTTGCCTCTGTGGGTGATGGTGACTACTGTTACGTTGGTCGTAATGCGTCCGGTTACGCCTGATAGTGGTGCCTGCCTGACTGGCTCCAGACGCAGTCTTCGTGGCTAAGGCTTCTCTAATCACTACTATATTGGCTCCGGTGTCGATTAGCGCTTCGACAGTGTGCCCATTCACCTGCACTTTTGTATGATGTTTCGCGAGGTTCCCGTCCTCGCTAGGACTGAAAGGAGACTTGCGCCCTTTCGTTATGCATCGCCGTGTCTGACGGCGGGGTGGTCTTCTTTGCGGCGTGGGCGGCTCTCTGCCTTGCCTTTACGCCTTCGTGGTGGGTGTTTACCGATGTCAGCATCTCTGCTGCCTGGGTTAGCGCGCCAGTGATGGTATTCACCACTGGGGTGCTCGAGTTGAGCGCGTTTCTGACTACCGTGGTGGTCCCAATTACTCGCCCTTGAGGGTCCCTGTGGACGACTGTTCTGCACGCTTTGGTGCAGTGCCCACTTCTGTTGCAGTTGTCGCACACGGGTCGTACTACTGGGCAGCATGAGCACGGGTGGTCAGGGCTGCTGCATTGGCAACACGGGTGACGTGCTCTGCGCGGTCGCTGATGCGTCGGAGGGGCTGCCCTTAGCTGGGCGCTCTCTGCTCCATGTTGCGGTGCTCGTTCTGTCTGTG